TTTAGACAAAAAATTTATTAAAGTAAAGAGAAAATAAAGAGAAAGTAACTAAGCTGATGTCATGTCCGTTCGTTCACCATACAAATACGCTACAGTAAATTAAAACTACATTAAAACATTACTAAAAATTGTTCCCCACCCCTTAGAAAGTTAAACAATTTTTTTATAGGTACTCGGATACCTATAGCAGCAAATGGCTATTGGGACCCAGCTGATCACGTGAAGTATTTATATATCCGGTTGGTCGGTTGGTCAAGTGACGGTTATGACGGATCCTTCCTGTTGGATTGCCATCTTAGGTCTTAGAGCCATTATCATCAATCGAGAAATGTGCCATATTTTGAAGAATTTCATAACACGAAGAACAATGTCACGTACAGCTTAAAGCAAGTAAGAATACGTTTATGTTTATAATTTTATTGTATTTTTATTTCTATTTTAAATATAGTTCTATAACATGACATCACTCAAGATTTAAGATCAAAGTTGCTTTTTTTTTTTTTTGCGGCAAATCGGCTACTGTCTTATCTGTAATTGTAATGAAAAGTTTGGCTGCGGCTATTCGGACTCGGTATCAGAAGTGGATACTTCAATTTTAATTCACCGCAAAAATTATTATTATTCACACTTTCCATAAAACAAATGTTCTTTTGAATAAAAAACAAATTGGAGAGATCAGCCAGCGGCCGCCATCTTGGTTATCGTGACCCACGAACTGGGGAGGGGTCACCCCTCATAATTACCCCTAAATGTATCCCTAAACCTAACCTGAACCCTAAATGTATCCCTAAACCTAACATGAACCCTAAAATGTATCCCTAAACCTGATCAATCTGAATTAGCTTAAAAAACTTTTAATTCAAAAATTATTATACATTATTTCACATTTCCATTCATTAAAACTTAAAACACTTCATACTTCCAATAAAACAAATGTTATTTTGAATAAAAACATACTTCTTTAAAGGTCCTTCGCTACTATAGTGGCCAAAATTGAACAATATTGACTAGAATGGCGTTAAGGACATAAAAACCATTTTAACACGTTGACGCCACATGAACTCACACATATACAAATCAAGCATATGTCTGCGTGTGCCGTTGTGGCGCTTGTTTCTTTCTTTTGCAGATTTCCACAAACGTTCGATGCTTTGGGTATTGGCTATTGGCACCTGAGTTTGGATCCAAAACAGAATGAATGACCGTTTGATGAGTCAATCCCTGAGTGGTGCCAATTGCATTATATGCTCTCCATTGATCTGATATGACTGTTGTGCCCAGCAGGATGTGTGCTGTGATTATCGGCATAAGTGTGATGTGTAGCTGCTGATCTATCCTGTACACAAAACATGAAACACTCACTAATCTCCTGACAAATGCCCCCAGAGACCCATTGTTGTGGCAAAACTCGCTCGTCATGATTTTTTCTGCATGTAAACATAGCCTACTCTTCGATTTCAACTGAGAATAAACATGACTTACCGGTGTAAATTGTGTGAATTTTTTGATGGATGAAGCATTAATGGATCCTAACACATGTGTTTTGGGAAATAAGGCCCATGGAGGCCCTTTAGACACCCCTGGCACAGAATTCTCCTTTTCCTGCCCTCGGGGGTACTTTTCGGTTGCTTCAGACAGAGCGATCCTTTTCACCATTGTGCATCCAATTATGGTTTATTTGAGCTGGGTGTTACTGAGAAAGTTGTCTGCATACTTATTAGTTATTATTATTATTCTCTCTCACAAACATTTTAATGATATATTGTGTAAAAATTAGCATAAGTACTCAAATGGGGTGCTTATCCCATGAGGCATATTTAAAGGCTCTATTTTTTTCTAAAAATTCATAGGGGTCATCTCTATCCAATTCAGAACCCCTAATCCTAATCCAAGGATTCACAACATTATCGTAAACATAATCATTTTGATTGTCTTCATTACTTTCCTGATTGTTTTCGTCAGTGTCAGATTCACTGCTAGACAGCAAGAGATCAAGAGGGTTACGTCCCAAGAGGGTTAACGAAAAAGCTTTCGGGTGACCAGCTCTCCTACCAGCAATGCTGCTAGTACATGAATTTCAAATATCCTAGTCCAGAGTTTCCCAAGCGTTTTGGAGTCACAGCACCGTTGCTGCACCCAGATCTTTTCAATTTTGCTCTAAGGCACATTCTTTGTGCACTGTAAAATAGCACTTTTTAAACAATCTAATCCATTTTTGAAACCTTATACTTATACAAGAAGACATACCTCAATAACTTCACTCTACTCTAACTTCACTCTATCAAAACAATATTTAATTGATACAGCATAGACGCTGCACAAAACCAACTGCTAATTTAATAAGTACAGAGTACCAAGTAGGTTGGAGAACTAGTGAAAAATACCAACTTAATTATAAATGGTTTGCATTAAGTCAATTCATTTTTTAACACTTCAGGTTGCAGCAGGACACAGTCTGGGAGCCTCTGTCCTAGTCAATTACATGCCATAATAAACACATATCTTTACATTTTCTCTTAACACCTAGCATCATCCTAATCCCCCTTCCAATAATAAATATTAGTATCTTGATCCTTTGAATGCACTTTATATAAAGATAAATCTAGCTAGTGCATGTAAGAAATATCAAAAGACTGTATTGGAATGGTTAGTTTCACTTATTAGGTTAGGGTAAAGTCTTGCACATTCCTAATTTAGTTAAAATTAGATAAAAATCCATACAAAATCTAGATTTCCTTCTGACATATTGAGTGCATTTTTGCTGTAAAAGAAATAATTAAAAAATGTAAAAGAGCTATTTAGATGGATTGCTTCTTATATTTAGATTTATCTGTCGCTATAGCATACATTTTTTTGGTTAAAATCATAGTAGTGATAATCCAGAGTTACATCTTGCAGGTTAGAATTATATTACCATTGATCTGTGACAAAAAATCTTATTTAAATTTGTAAAGATTCACTACTGTAATGCAGTTGTAGTTAAAATCTTGCACTGAGCTTGACTTGACCATTTTGAAGGTTTTCTTTTGTTCATTTAGCACCACCTCCCTTATTCCAATAGTGATTGGACGTTAACTATTTAACAGATTAAATAAACAAAGCTATTCAACTTTCCCTTAGAGAACAGGAATTTTTTGTCGAAACACCCATGTAAACATGCCTGGTGTAAAAGCAATGATTACACCAAGTGTGTGATTAATTTTTTGGTACTTTTTATTATGGTAACTTTCAGGTTAGAAGTGTTCATAGGAAATTGTCTTCACATTAATGCAAGCTTGCGCTCTAATATAATAAAGTTTCTGTCTTCTACTAATTCATGTATTATTTTACTTCCAGGTTAAAGTTGTTAGAGATCACTTGAAGACCTCCATCACTGCCAGAATTCACAGCTGCTCTTATGATGAATGTGCAGGAGTAATCATGACATGCCAGGACAATGACTGGTCAACATTTTACTTGAGGTAAATCCAGTCCTTTTTATTCTATTTATTTTTCATTACCCATGCCATTAATTAAAAAAAAAATAATTTTTGGTTTTATTTTTTTAAATTTTAACTTGATGCTTGATTTATCACACCGGGTAATAATCTTGAGGTAACTTGCCTTTATTGGGATCTTTGAAATTTATTCCCAATGGATCATAAGCCGACCACAATCTTAGTTTTTGCCAGGAAAACCCTGAAAAGTGTGTAATATGCTTATTAGTGTACTCTTTCAGTTTTGGCAGGGAAATTATTTTAAAGGTTTTCATCGAAACCTTAAAAATAATTGCTTATTAAAAAGACTTAAAACTATTAAACATGCTTATTAAAAAGACTTAAAACTATTAAACATTCAGTATTATCTATAACAGCGACTCACTTCACTTTTCTACATATATATATATATATATATATACCGTAACCACACTGAACAGAATCAGTCATATGCTCACACACAGACACAATCTTATTGTTTTCTATAATGGAATAAATGTACCTGGTGAAAACCTTCTGTGTCTGACTCAAAAGCCCACTTAACCATTGAAATATTTTTTGTATAAATAGGCCTTTGAATAAGGATCTACAGTACATGCTGAATTTTGATTTATAGCCATGTCTAGACTTAATTATGTGTTGATCATTCTTAAACATCATCCAAAAATTCAAATTAAATAATTATAATAATAAGTATGCCGCTAAATGGGAGAAATAGAGATAGATAAACAGATCAATTTGTTAATGCTGATCATTAGTAGGGCCCTGGCCTGTTTCACCACATCCTTCCATTCAGACATCATCATCATAGGAGCTACAGCCCATCATAGGGGCCTGATCTGCTTGTCTGCTCTACAGCATCCTCCCTTTTAAGCTGATCCATGACTTTACACCTTTCAGGTGATTTTAGTCCTTTACAACTCAATCCATATCAGTCTTGGTCGACGGATGAGC